TTAAGGCACCCAAGTGTTTTATTGGATCCAGCTCCTATTCTCATGCTGTGCCTTAGCTCAATGCATGTAGAGGAGAGGATTGTAGGGCACATTTACATGTGAGGCTGTATCACCGTAGCAATGCACTACAGCGACGTAGCATCCGTGGGCAAAAACCGTGATGCTGCAGCTCCATCGCCAGAGCAATATGTTCCCCTGTTATAGCGTGTTGCTACAGTGACATAGTGACAAAAAATAACAGTGTGTGGTGTGCACGGCACAGTACAGGCTGTTACTGTGCCATCATTTAGTACTTCCAAAAGGATATCATGGGATAGTACACATGGAAGTACTAAATAACAGCGCAGTAACAACAACGCCATAGTGGTACGTGTAAACGTGCCCACAGAATCTCTCGCCTCCTACATGGAGCCCTATCTTGGGACAAGGACAGTCTCTCACTTCGTATTTGTCAGGATAGGGCACTCTGGGATCTCTGGAAACTACTGTAACATTCATGATACAAATTGCACAGAGCTGCAACTGAAATTCATTGGGAGGAAGCAAATTTTGACTAGAAAAAAAGGGGGCCCTACTCAGCCTTTCTGAAAATGTATCTGTAAAATGGACCAAGTCCTCAGCTGGTAGAAACCACACCAGAACCATTGGCCAATGGAGTGACACTGAAAGATGTCACTTTAGGATCTGGCCTCAAGGCCATTCTCCTGAAACAGGTCTCCCAGCTACAATTTTTTTCCCATGTTCTAACTGCCCCTGTGCCCAATGGTACTAAATCACTAATCTCTGTAAAAAGCAAACAATTATATTGCCTTAAATGTCTGCTTCGAGGCTGAACGTTTACTTCTAGGGTCACTGTTATTTGTTCAGAAACCACTTTCTGTATCTATTGGGAAACTGACTTTATATCTGCTGAGACATGAGCATGAAAATAATGTTCCCAACAGAAACCTCCCACCAGGAGTTTCCAGCTCACTTATCTCCGTATTGCTATCTCTGTATTGCTGCTTATAAATGGGAAGGAAGTGACTACTCCCATTCAAAACAAGACATAACCACTCAATATTTCTCTGCATCTCCTACTCAGAACAGTTGCCTCATTGATCTACATAAAATCTACTTTCAGGCCACAAGGTGTTTCATTCAATTTTCAGAGAGCCTCAAAACTCAGCTTTAGTGACTCAGGCCAAATATATAACTCATAGACTAGATTTGCCCACAGCAGCACAGCATCCCTCCTGCCTCAAGTCATTCAAGACAGAAATACCTAGGGAAACGCTCTTTCCTGGCATCTCACAGGTGCAAGTAGCAGTCAGGGGGGTGGCATGAAAAATGTCTCATAACCAATCAATGCTTCTCTGTGATTTACAGCATATCTGCACCATCTGCATCCCTTTTAATTTAGGCTTTAATTGAGCTCTCTGGCATAACTCGTTAGCCCTCTGTCATGTCAGATATACACTATTTGAAATATAAAAATTGGATACAGGAAGACAGCCAAAATAAAAAGTATGTGGACCAAGGAGACAAGACCTGTGAAACAAAATCACAATTGCCTGGCTATTATTGTTACTACTATTGCTTGTTACTGTAATGTCTGTCTGTCAAAAAAATGGGTTCCCAGTGTGCTAGGCACTGCACAGACCAAAAGTAATAAAATTCCCTGACTCCAAAAGCTTAGAGTGTAGAAGATATTGGGTTGGGGAAAAGGTATATAAACATAAAACCTTCTCCACCAAGACACATTCAATTGGTCACAACTTTTGAAGCTCCTGCTCCTTCAAGAAAGCTCAATTAGTTAACACCTTTCCATCCCATTTATCCCCTAAACTGCTCCCCCCTGCCAGTGACAAACCTTTCCAGCTCACCTGCATAAAAGATGAATCAGCAAAAATATAAAAGTTATTCCATTCCTACACAAGAAAGGAAAAAGATAGCTTCATCTTCATGGGCTTTTCCTTTTAAGATAAAAATGCAAAACTGGAAAAAGGCAGCCACCGGGCAATAATGGCAACTGCCACGTAAGCCTATAGATGTCATGCTGAGCAGCAAATTACAGTTCTCCTTTGTATGGAATCCTAGCTAACACCTGTGGCCAGGGGGACATTCACAGAGCAGAGGAAGAGCATGGGAGAACATGAAAGCAACCTGTAATCACAGTGTGCCAGAGGTGTTAATTAGCCTGGCAACCAACCAAATGGCTGATATTAAAATCCCCTTATCTAGGAACTGCACATTTCAGCATTTCTACAGTTTGCACTACACTCGGCAAAGCGGCAGCAGGCTACTGAAGAAAGGAGAGAGACTGAAGCATATTACTAATAATTAACTAACAATCAGAACATCTCTTAGCTTAAAAAAAAAGCATTATCTGAAAGAAATACACATCTGAATACGTCAGCAGCTGCCTTGAGAAAGCAACAACAGCAACTCTGGAAAAATAAACATGAATGATCTTTCATGAGAAAACTTAACAAATGGAAGTGAGATCACTGTGCTGGAGCCAGCAGCTGATAACACTGCAACTTATGATATGCATTCCTAAAAAGGAAAATTTGCTTCTACATACCTGTCCAGTCTCCCACTATTTTAATATGGACCCCAAATGTGGCTTTGGTATCTGTAGGGCACTGAAAAAATTAAAGATGGTAAGGAACACTGCTGAGAGTAATAATGAAATAAACAGATTCAAGACATCATTTTGAGGCCAGGTTCTTATTTGGTGTAAATAGATGACTTTAATAAGCCAGTCTGAATTACACCAAAAGATAATCTGTCCCCTTATTTACAAAGCAACTCAACATTAAAAATGCAGAAAGTCTAGACCAGGGGATTATGGATCTAATCATCCTGTAGGGACAGAGGACTGAAAAGGAACTCCCAGCTCATTAAGTCCAGCATCCTGCAATTGCAGGCAACCATGCAACAAATATCTGTTCAAGAGCATTAAGTCCAATCCCTCCCACACACGGCTCTCCTCTGTTTATAGAACAGTTCTGGAACATGTTCACCATTGGTGTGACACAGAGCAGCTACTACCCGAAGTAGTCCCCAGCTGCCTTGACCATAAGAGGCAGTCTTGGTGACTAAGGCAGATACTACACTTAAGACACAATTCATTTGTTAATCACTTCTTAAATAGCAACTCAGCCACACATTCAAGCAATTAATGGCACCATAGAAAGGGAAACCAGCCACAAAAATATTACAAAAAAAAAAGTCTAATATTTTTGTTGCTGGTTTCCATCATGCCTTACATTGAAGGTGTGGCAGGGTTAGGACCGCCCTCAAATTTCCAGTCAGCTCCAGTGCAGTCCCCACTAGTCAAGAAGCAATCAGGTGATTATTGGTCAGATTTGAGACCACACAGTAGCTCAAACAGGCCTTGGCGCAATCTCTGCCAGCCACCATTCACTCATTTGTTGGCCAGATCCAGGGCCACAGCTGGGGTTCGACTGGCTCCAGCGCAGTCCCTGTTGGCCAACAATCAGCTGATTGTACGCTGGATCTAGGACCACACTGGGGCTGACAGTCCATGTAGACCAACACAATCAGCTAATCGCTGGCTGGTAAGGACCATCCCGGACAGTTTGAGTCCCGGTATAATCCCAGTTTAGCAGACTATCAACTATCAGTCAGCTCCAAGGATTATACAAGGACCATTTCCAGCCCCAGTTCAGTCCTGGAGCCCTCTGAGAATTAGTTTATTGTTGGACACCCAGCTTTCAACTTGCTAGGATGATTCTAGGTTGCCTCTGCATTGGCAAGTAAAGTGTATGCACATGTGGCGTGGCAGAAAGCATGTCTGTTAGGATCAGGAATCAGATCCCACTGTGCTCTTAAATAAACATTTGTCAGTGGCCTAAGAAAAACAGGAGTATTCCCAGTATGACCAGCCCCTTGCATTCCACACTCATGAGCCAAGCTAAAAAAACAATATGGTTTAAAAATGAACTGAAATAAAATAAAATAAAATAAAAATAATTGTTCCTTGTATCTGCTTTCTGGTTTTGGAACTTCAAAGGTTCATGTTTTCAAACTTATCTCTATAACAATGAGGGCTAGAAATTTAACAGAAAAAGTGAAAGTTGAGAATCAGTTGCACTGGCACAATTCATAAGAGTTTGGGCTTTAAGAAAATTGGCAAGTATCATGCAACGTATGATGCATGAAATCCCAAGAGCTGGCAGTGGTGTGCTCCAGCCATACTGATGTCACCGCACCCAGGATTCTACTCTAGGGGCTGTCAGTTCACACTGTATTTGCGGTAAGGGGGAGGCACAAGTCCTCTCCCCAAAAAATATTTAAGCCATAAATAGAACCCTTTTCCATTGCCCAAGAAGGACAAAGGGAGTGAGGCAGAACTGAAGACATGGCCCACCAAGTAAAAAATCCTTGCTACCAAGAGGAAAAGTCAAGACACATTGACAGACTTTAAAAAAACAAACAAAAACCAGGTATGTCTTTAGAAAAGAAGTTGTTTTCCTGTCAAATATCAAAACTACCAGTTTCTTCGAAACCTACTGAAGCACCACTCCATTTTAACATGCATCTCCTATCAATTAATGGCTGATCCAACTCTGCCAACTCTACCAAGTACACAAGACAGGAATCAGAAAAGGGGCTCTCCTCTGCTTTTACAGGTTTAGAAAAACATGTGGATCAGTAGAGAAGACTGGAACTAAGGAAGTCTTAAAGTCTAAGACTTCCTCTAAGCCTGCGACTGACTGAGCCACTAATTAAAGTCATAACTTTTATAGCAAGAAAGGGACGGTTCAGTGGTTGGGGCATTAGACTACAACTGCAGAAACCTAGGTTCGGCTTCCTGATCTGCATGACTTTGGGCAAAGCAGGGTCTATATGTTGTGTCTTTGCATCTTTTTCATACCAGTGTAAAGATGGGTTACAGCAGTATATACATGCTGTGCACTCCCGGCCTTAGTTCAGGGTTTGGCAGCCTTTTACTATTGCAGGCCAGCACTTGCCACCCAGCCAGCACCATGGAACACAGTCCCGCTGCAGCCACTGCACTGACAGCGAGCAAAGGAAGCGATGAGGAAGAGCAGCCCTCCATGGGACAACAGGCTGGAGAGGTTGGAGGTGATGGATATGCCATTAGCAAAACACAGACTGGACAAAACAGCTGGGGACTGGTGCACCCTTAGCAAAATGTGGACCAGATTTTACTTTCGTGGGCCAGATCCAATCTCTTTGTGGACCAGATACGGCCTGCGGGGTCTAGGGTGCCAACTCCTGCTTTAGTCTGTGCCTTAGTCACTATGTGTAAAAGACAGACCGTAGCACGTCCCTGCCTCTAAGGAATCTTGTGAAGGTAACTACACGAAAGACTGTACAGTGTTCAAATGCTACAGTGAACAGACACAATTTCCTGAGATGGATATGTAATAGCTCAAACACTTACCTACTCTCAGCAATGTTTGGGAAAGTTTGGCAAACGTCTATCCACATATGTGTGGATGTTTGTTTTTCCAGGGAAAAGAAGCAGCAGCATACCTTGGCGTGTGGCAGGTTACCCGGATGGGGTAGGGGAGGCTGGGGCCAACACTGGGATGGCCTCAGCAGCCTTACCTGGGTTCCTGGGGGCCTTCTGGGCCTGCAGCAGCAGCAATCCTGCCACTCGGTGCCTGGCCAGCAGCCGGAGCATGGCTCCAACCAGTCAGGCTCCCACTTGTGTCACTCCACTTTTTTTTGCATAGGTTTTTGGCCCCAGGATCTTCCCAGGTCTAAACCCCTCCTCTTCCCCCCCGCATCCCTACCTTGCAGCATGGAGAACAGCTGAATGGGCAGCAGTGCCACATACTCCATGGATGTGCTCATCTGGATGTGGCCCTGGAGTTTAATCAAGAGCACCAAATAAAGCTACACTAGCTACATGTAGGTACATTTGCAGGCCTTGGTCTCACATTCCTACTACTGGAACCTTTCCAATGGCCACACACTAGTCACAACTTCCCTATATTACTATTTGCCGGCAGTTTTCTAGTACAACCTTGATGCAGAGCTTAATTCTTGAGCTGGACTATGCTGCTCTCTGCACCACAGGTGAATTTCTTCATCTAGAGAGATTAAGCGATTTGCTCAATTCAGAGGTCTGTCATCGTCCTCTATAAAACTATCCTCCCTATCCTGACAAATTCTCCTTCCAGTAAAGTTAATAGCAAAATTCCCTCGACTTTAGTGGGCAAAGGTTCAAACACATTATCCTTTACACGACTTGTGTGAGTAACTCCCTTCTGCATTACACTAAAAAATTACCCCATAAAAATCAAGATTTAGCTCTTCTCAGATTTTAGGAAGTCTATTCTGACACTATAATGGGACATAAAGGTTCCTTGGAGGCTTCTAGGAAACTTACTGTTCTACTAAATCTTCCTAGAGGAAACAAACTCATCATCTAGGATATATAGAGCAAAGTTTTAATATTGCATTTATGCTTTTATTGTACAAATTCATACACTTTCCTTCTCTCACAATAAACCTAGCAACTGCCAAATAGGCAGCCAAGTGAATACTTAGGAGGACAAAGAGCGACTGATATTGAGAAGAGTAGAGAAGATGTGCAAACATTTATGTATTTATGTGTTGCCTGAGTCCCTCTCAGGTCTCTGCCCACAACTACAACTGCACGTGCAAATGTCTACTTGTATGTTTAACTTTACACATGCAATCCTCATGGCTGCACACAATTTTATGTGCCTAAAAGTTTGAAAAGCAAACCCATATTATCATGTCACATGATATAAAAGATACAGTGCAGCTAAGCTGTGTCAGGAAATCCTCCCTATTCAAGACAATTCTCACACATGTGTTTAACTGGACACACACTTCAACAGATTCTTGAAAGATAAGCAGAAATGTAGTGTATTTGCTTATGTAGCATACACATATAAGGCTCATAGGCTCTCCATGAAAAGGCCAGCTTCAGGCAATAATTCTAGGACATGGTTTATTTTACCTTCTGCCTTCCAAAAGCAAGGTGTGTGGAATGTGATAAAATGCAGTAAACGATTTTCTGAATTGGGGAACTAAAAAGTAATCATGTGAACTTTGACGTAAACATGCACCCAGGTGACCTCAGAATTGCCTCACATCCTCTTTACAGATCTGAACAAAATGATACAATTCCTTTTTCAAATGGAGTCAAGAAAATACACTTGGGTCTCCCATACATGAGCAGGGAGGCTGCTCTGACAGTGCATTGGAGTAGACTTAATTAATTGAGTCTGCTGGAGTGTGGAAACTACTGCAGTCCAGCAGACTCCCGCATCACATGTATCAGCATCCCCGCACTGAAAAATGGTGGTGGGGTACTTTAAACTAAAGCTCATTCAACCAGCTTTAGTTCAAAGCACCCCACTGCCATTTTTCAGCATGGAGACACTGATACACATGATGTTCTGGGTACTTGCAATTAGCACGGTTCTCAGAGCTGCACTAATTAGAGCGCCACCACCCCCCTCCCACCCTTGCTTCCTACAGCAGGTCTATAAACACCTTTGGATTCTGATTTCTCTTTCCTAGAGGCCTAGAAAACAGACAATCTAATGTCTACCATCACATGCCATCAGTTGCATCTAAGCCCCTATTTTCCTCCTAGCGTATAGTAGAC